TCGCTGCTTAATTTGCTCCAGGTTGAACCGATTGTGCTTCTTGGACCTGAAACAGGCAGTAACTCTTCCTTTGTAAAACTTGTAATCACTAATAATGCTGAGCACCAAATACCAGTCCAGGCAGAAGCTATGGCTTGGGCCTTGTCCTGCAAAGGTAGCTCCAACAGCTGGCTAATGTGTCAACTGGTAATGGAACAGAGTAGATCAGGCACGACTGAGCAAACCTTAGCTCACAAGTAAAACTAGAAACCAGGAGGGAGCAGAGGTCATGCCGAGCTAGGCTCTTGTACCTACTGGTCTGTGGGAGCCAGGGACGCTAAGCCACAGTGTCTAAGGCAGAGTTCAGGACAGGGGAGGAGCTGTGCCAAGCTGAGTCAGAGCATCTACTGGCAGGCAAGTGATCTATAGCTGGGAACAGGCCCGGTTGGGGAGCTAAGGGGACAACCCTAGCTGGGCTGAAGTTCCCACCATGAGGCACGTGGCCTGGAAGAGGGGCTGCGTTCTGATCTGGAAACAGTTGTAGTCTCCCTTGGCACAAGTGTGGACTGGGATTGGATGCACCGAACCAGGCCGGACCCCAACACCCCCTGGTGTCCTAGAGGACCAGGGCAGATGAGGGATGGACTAGGCAAGGTCTCAAACCCCTACTGAGCTATGTGTGAGCCATACGTGGGTATGGACAAACCATGGCTGGGCTGGAACATCCAACAGCAAGAACCAGATTGGGTGGAAGGCCAGTCAGGAAAAGCCATAGTTCCTGCTATGACAGGAGGTGGACTGAGTAGGGTTGGCTCACGGACCCACTGGTAAGCGTGAAACCTGGCATTGGGAGAGGTTCTGATGGAGGAGCCTGGGCAACTCCTCTGGCAGGACACAGACCCGGCAGGTAAGCGCAAGAAACATGATAGGAAACAGCCCAGAAAAGGCCATGGAAAGCTACCCACTGGCATACAATTGGCAGACGTGAAGGCAAGACCAGGCTGAATCTGTCCACGTCATCCACTGGCAAATCCAGACACCAGTGTGGTTCGAGCCAGGTTCGGTCGCAACAAAGATTAGTGCCCAATAAGGAATGCCAAGGTGAGGTTGCCTGTACCGGAAGGGACTGCAGCGCCCAACCAGCCTGAGGACAAGAAAGGAAGTGGGCAGAGCCGGCAGGGGAATAAGGGGGGGCGGGAATAAGGGAGGGTTCCTTTGCTGGACAGCTACTTCCGCAGGAGAGCATAGGCTGGGATGGGGGCAGACCAGACTAGGCAGAGCTACCACACCTGTGCGCCTCATGTGGACTAGATCAGGGAAAAGCCGGGCTGGGCAGATTATTTCTACTGGTGCAAACAAAATTAAAGTGGGCGAGGGTTGTTTGGGTTTAGATGCAGCATCAGCTGGAATCTGGGAGTGGGAGAGGCCTGGGAGGGAAATAGTGGGCTCATCCCTCTTGGGTTACCACTTCCACGGGAGGACATAAAACTAAGATAGTGGCTGGGGTGAAATGGGGTGTGGGACAGACTGGATTACTGCTACACTTACTGGCAAACCAGGGTAGGGGGCGGGCCTGGTGGGGGTTATTGCGGGTCGCCCCGATTAGGCTGCAGCTCCCACTGGTTTATGTGAGGGCCAAATATGTGCTGGGCAGAACCAGGCTGGACTGCAACACCCATTGGTTCCAGTGGAAGTCGGGACTGAAAACAGAACCAACCCAGCAATTGCACCCACCAGCTGATTGGGGCAATGGATGGTGCCAGGCCCTGTACTTGTTAGCACATACAAGAAGTTTCTTTGGAGATCTTCCTAATCTAAATGCTGGACTCAGAACCCTAACGAAGAAAAGAGAGAAGACAGAACAGGGCAACCAACCATCTCAGCTATGATGGACTATGTCAATCAGTGGATTTTTCAAAGACCTCATAGTGCTTGGAGTGGCAAGATTGACAGCGATTTATAACTGTGGCAATATCAAAACCACTTGAGCAAAACCTCAGAGCATGCCCTACATCCGGGACGTGGGGAGGGTGGGAAATTGGGTGGGCCTTCTCCCTTAATACCCCCCTTTAAACATGAAGGTAACAATATGGAAAACATACTAGTATTATCCACTTTCCTGTAGCCCTTGAACCTTCTTACCCTAATTAACCATGTAAAGAAAGTCAAAATAAATTTTATTTAAAAAAAAAAAGTCAGATATACAAAGAGGAGGAGAGACAGAAAGGAAGATCTCCTATCCAGTGATTCACTTCCCAAGTGGACGAAACAGCCGGTGCTGTGCTGATCCAAAGCCAGGAGCGTGGAGTCTCCTTCATGTCTCCCACACAGGTGCAGGGCCCCAAGGTTTTTTGTTGTCCTTGACTGCTTTCCCAGGCCACAATCAGAAAGATGAATGGGAGGTGGGGCCGTCCACATGGGATCCTGGTGCTTGCGAGACAAGGACTTTAGCCACTAGGCTACTGCACTAGGCCCCCTGCTCCTTATTTTTCCTTTTAAGTTTCAACTCTTCATTACCAACTAAAAAAGAGTTAAATCCTAAAATGAGTTATTTTCAGGCAAACCATTATCAAAGCTGAGTAGCCAGCTGGAGGAAGTCTTTAACACAGACTGAGTCATACATAAATGATGAATTCAGAAGTGATATTTGTATAACGTGGAATTTGTGTTGGTGATTTTTTTTCCCTAGAGAGTCAGAAGTTGAACTGGAAATGGAATCTTCTGCTGGAAGGAGAAAAGCTCTCAGAAACATGAGCAATTTCCCTTTTACGTTTATTTAAAGAAAATTAAAATACCATTTTCAGGGTTCCTTTTCCTCCTGTCCTGACCTTGATAGCTGCCCCATTGGCTCAGGGCTCGGCTTCCTTCTCTGTTGTCAGGGTAGTAAGCATCTTTCACTTGATTGCGCTCATTTCAGATATCCACCCAGGTAGCCTGCAGCTCAGAGCCGCCTGCTAGATCTCATTATGTTCTGAGTTCTAGTTACAGCTTTTCTCAGCTTGTTTCATAGCTGTATGAGCTTCAGGTGGTTTGCCTCAAGCCTGGTTTTTCCCATAAATCTTCCTTGTTGAGTACATGCTTTTACAGAAGTGTGTTTTCAGGAATAGATATGTGGTGACGAAGCGTGGATACCTGGTACTTGGGGTACTTGGTTATTAATGTTGTGCACCTGCAAGGCAGAGGGGAGGGATCGCCCAGCTAGGCTCCCTCCCTGGTTGGCTGCAGACGCCAGGAGCTGGATTACAGGAATTTACCTGCTTGAGCTATCAGCTGTCCCCTCCCGGAGCGTGCATCAGCAGGAAGCTGCGAGGAAAGCTGAGGCTTGAAGCCTGCGTTCCTATCTAGTGTGCTGGCATTTTAAATGACAAATTTTAAAGACTTAACTTTATTTGAAAGTTTCGTGGTAGGGTGGGGGAGATAGATCTTCCTTCTCAGATGGCTGTGGTGGTCAGGGCTGTGCCAGGAGCTTCTGGGTCTCCCATGTTGGGCCCGAGCACTTGAAGCCCTCCTCTGCCGCTTTCCCAGGGCACTGAGCAGAGAGCTGGAGCGGAAGTGGAGCAGCTGGCGCTCAAACCATCAGCCATACGGAATGCTGGTGCCTCAGGCAGAGGCTTAGTTTGCTGTGCTATGGGACTAACCCCACAACATCAGTTTGAAAAGAACTATGAGGGCGGCAGCAATTCTGCCAGACTGGTTCAAGCCAAGCAGTCCCTTCATGTTGAAACTCAAGCGGACAGGCGATGAGATCATTGCTTAAAACGTGAATAAATCCACAATTTGCAGGTGAATAACTAATTTTAAGAAGAGACTGTACTACATTTAAGATAAATCCTTTACTGGTAGATCGGTGGCAAGGGGAGAATTCATCTTGTTTGTGCTCCAGTTGAGGACTGTTGATGCACAGCACAAAAATAGCCAACACAGTAACCGTCAGTTCATTTAAAGTGTAAAACCACAACCCGGTCTGTGATCTTTAAAAAGTGATGTAACAATTTATATTTCCATTCATAGAGGTTAAATCTTACTGGATGACCTATAAGCTGAGCAAAGCAGTCTGCATTCCTGGGCATCCATTGTGTTCGGCTTTGGTGCCATCAGCGGACAGGTCCCTCTGCAGAGGTCCTCAGGGGCCCCTCCTTGGTTTTGGGTGCTGCTTCCTTCCCCAGAGCCGCCCACCACCTTCCATATCCTCTTCTCACCTCTTCAGGCGCCACCCGCACTCCTGCTGTCCCCCTGGCCTGCCAGCCCAGCCGGGCGCGCGGAGGTCCTGCCTGCTCCCCTGGGCAGGTGACCCCTCCTCCCCTCCGAACTCTGTTGTCTTAACATCAGTTTGTCCTTGGAAAGTTTGAGGATCTGTTATTCAAAATGAACGGGACCAGAAAGTTTTAGGTTTTGGATTTTAGAATATTTGCATAGACTGTACTAGTTGCTAATCCGTAATCAGAAAATTCGAAATCCAAAGTACTTTGAAATGAAGTCAGCACTTAAAGTGTTTTTGGATTTTCTGATTAGTTACTCAGTCTGTTCTGGCACTGGGAATGCTGTTAATTAAGAAAGTTCTGTCAGAATTCATATTGGTTAATTGTGTAATTTCTTCCTATTTGAATCTCAGACATGGATTGTCCTTGGTATTTCCCTACCAATTTTAGAATATGCATTTGTTAATTTCGTCAAGAAAATTTGCTGGGAATTTATACGAGCTGTCAGGATCAATCTGAAGAGATTGACTCTCTTGGAAATATTGGATTTTGTGACTGAACGTTTATAGTGTATCTCCCCATTTGCTTAGATTTTCTTTAATTTCTCTTCATGAGAAAAAAAAACCCACTAGAAGCCCCAATGCTGTGAGGCAGGGAGACAGCATGGGAACTGTAAAAGGCAGTATGTGTTGATACTAGTGTATATAGATACTCCTGTGGAAGACTGGAGAGCCTGTGCAGGGAACGGCAGGGTTTTACGCTTAGCTTGGCAGTTCACTTCGGCGTGTGGTTTTCATCCTAATTCCCCTCGCTCTCTGACAGGTGCGGCCCGTGTTTGAGGATCGCCCCCGCGTTCAGCTCTATGAGTAATAAATACCCCCAGGCTGTTTTCTTGGAAGTAGATGTGCATCAGTGCCAGGTAAGGGAAATGAGTCCTTTTTGTCTTTTACTTTACTTTCAGATCAGCTTGAAATCCAGCATAAATGTCACCCTTGACTAGTCTCTTAATGCGTGTTAATGTTCTTCTGAAGGTAGGAAAATGTAGATTTGCAGGATATTGGAAATTCATTTTGGCTACATTGTCTAAGAAGGATAGTGCTTGAATGCTTCTGGTTTGGACTCATTCTTTCTTTCTTTTTTTTTTTAAAGATTTATTCATTTTTATTACAAAGTCAGATACACAGAGAGGAGGAGAGACAGAGAGGATGATCTTCTGTCCAATGATTCACTCCCCAAGTGAGCGCAACGGCCGGTGCCGCGCCGATCCGAAGCTGGGAACCAGGAACCTCTTCCGGGTCTCCCACACAGGTGCAGGGTCCCAAAGCTTTGGGCCGTCCTCAACTGCTTTCCCAGGCCACAAGCAGGGAGCTGGATGGGAAGTGGGGCTGCCAGGATTAGAACCGGCGCCCATATGGGATCCCAGCGCGTTCAAGGCGAGGACTTTAGCCACTAGGCCATGGTGTTGGGCCCTGGACTCATTCTTTGCTACATACAGCTAATATGATAAGAAGCAAGTAGAACTTTTGGGAGTTCTGGTTTTACATTTCTTTGTTTATATTGTACCAAACTAGAGTTAGATTTTCTCTTGGTGACTATAATGCCTTGGGAAGGAATTCTTTGGTGTAGTTTGAATTGATCAGTTCGGAATCCCACTTTAAACGTGTGTACTCAGCAGAAACTTTAGAATGTTGATTGATGATGAGTGAATTAGCATGCTCATGGCTTACGTCAGGATGGCTATGTGGTAGTGCTCTATTTGCATACGTAGAAACTGTTAAGAATAGAATTTTGGAAGATGTCTTCCTATACTAAACGTACAGTTATTCCTGCTAACTGAGGAACCACTGGGCAACTCTGGCTCCTGGCTACTTGGATGAGGCTTTATCTGGTAAACGTTTGAAGTGCAGAAAAATTTGTAGAATGCTTGGTAGTTTGTAGTTGGGGTTTCTGCGTAAATCCCGTGGAGCCTGTTTTAAACCTTTCTGTCCTGTGTCATTCGATTGCTTCCTAAGCCTTTGCATTGAGGACAGTAGCCACTGTTTCTGATCTTTCCCGGGCTGCAGTCTCTCGGGCAGACACCAGCTCGGTGTGATTATTGATCACTTGAAACGTGGCAGATCCAGCTTGAGATGAGCGCAGGTGTGAAGCATCGCGTTTGAAAGACGTCGTATAAAAGAACGAGTGTGAGAAACTTCATATTGTTTTGCTGATTGTACTGAGAATTAATTCATTGAGTTCACTAAAATATATTAAAATTCACTTTCTTTTTTATTAGGGATACTATAGAACAGGTAAAATTTCTCTTACATTGTATTTCTTTTGGACCACTTTGTTTCAAAAGTTACGTTACTGATTTTTCTCATACGTTCCTGCAGTATTAATAGTCTATGAAATTTTGAAGCTATGGCAGAATTTAGAAAGAGTTGCTTGCAGGGTGTTTGGTAGGAGACGAGCAGTCGTTTTTATGAAGTATAAATTAGTGGGGAGATGAGCTCCTGTTTGTCAGGTGTTTTTGGTGTGAAACTTCATTTTTGTACTGTGCTTTCCACTCCAGAATGAAGCAGCGATGAAAATGTAGGGTCATTCTTCATGGACGGTATGGAGGGAGTAATTTTAGTATGCCTTTAAGGATCTTAAGAATGGATCTGATTTTTCTTAAACCGCGATTATGAAGACTTAGTTTACATGCTTAATTTATATTTTTGATACTTAATTTAGGTGACAGAATCAACGTTCGAAGTGACTCAAATGTTTTCATTAATAACCCTGTTTAACTTGCCCATTCTAGGGAACAGCTGCTACCAACAATATATCAGCCACACCTACGTTTTTGTTTTTTCGAAACAAAGTGAGAATTGATCAGTACCAAGGAGCAGATGCTGTGGGACTGGAGGAGAAGATCAAGCAGCATTTAGAAAATGACCCTGGAAACAGCGAGGACACCGACATCCCGAAAGGCTACGTACGTACAGAGCGGGCCGCGCCGGGCGGCGTGCCTGCCGCTGCTCGGGGCGCAAGGGACTGCGGTTCCTCGCTTTCTCCTTATCTTTGTTTTCATCATTTTAAAATCTTTTTTTTTTTTAACCTTTATTTACAATGTTTTTAACCTTGAAACTTTTTTGTCTGTATTACTACCTTAAATCCTGTCATAAACCAAATTCCTGAATTTCTCTTTCTTTTACTGCATGTTTTTAAATATGCTTTGTAAGCTATGTAATAGCAATTTTAAAAAACATTTATTTTATACTTTTTTCCCTCCCAAACTGAGGAAATGTGCTTTGAGAAAGTTCTATTTGAAGGTTATGTAAATGCTGCATTCATTACCTTTCCTGACCCTCCCCATATCTTACAGTTTTCTCTATTGTAAGTATGTCTTCTCTTTCCTGGAATTCTGTTTTTGTTATTGTTGTTGGTTTTTTTTTTTTAAAAAAATTATTATTTCATTTTTACTGGGAAGTCAGATATACATACAGAGAGGAGGAGAGACAGAGAGGAAGGTCTTCTGTTTGCGGATTCACTCTCAAGTGGCCATAATGGCTGGAGCTGAGCCGATGCGAAGCTAGGAGCCTGGAGCTTCTCCCAGGTCTCCCATGCTGGTGCAGGGTCCAAGGCTTTGGGCTGTCCTTGACTGTTCTCCCAGGCCACAGACAGGAAAGAGGATGGGAAGTGGGCTGCCGGTGGCATGAACAGGTGTCCATATGGGATTCCTGCATGTATAATGTGAGGACTTTAGCTGCTAGGCCACTGTGCCAGAGCCCCTGGATTCTGATTTTTTTCAAAAACCTAGTCACTGATGTTTTTTTAGAGGCAACTGGTTAAGCTGTGGTTTGGGGTGCCCACATCCCATATCAGAGGCCACGTGTGCGCCTCAGCTTTCTGCTTCTGATCCAGCTTCCTGCTAACGCACCTGGGAAGGCGGTAGATGCTGACCTCAAGTGCTTGGGTCCCTGCTGTTCCTGTGCGGGACCCGGATGCAGTTCCAGACTGCTGACTTCAGCCCAGCCTCAGCTGCAGTCATCATTGGGAGAGCGAAGCGACCTCTCTCTCTTCTGCCTTTTTTTGTTTGTTTGTTTTTTTAATGGAAAATCAGATTTACAGAGAGAAGGCTTGACAGAAAGATATTCTGTCCTCTGGGACCAAAGGATTTGGGCCATCTTCTGCTGTTTTCTAGAAACATTAGGGAGCTGGGGCCCAGCGCGGTGGCGCAAGTGGTTAAAGGTCCTCGCCTGGAACGCCCGGGATCCCATATGGGTGCCGGTTCTAATCCCGGCAGCCCCGCTTCCCTTCCCTTCCAGCTCCCTGCCTGTGGCCTGGGAAAGCAGTCGAGGACGGCCCAAAGCATTGGGAACCTGCACCCACGTGGGAGACCCGGAAGAGGCTCCTGGCTTCGGACTGGCATAGTATCGGCCCGTTGCGCTCACTTGGGGAGTGAATCATCGGACGGAAGATCTTCCTCTCTGTCTCTCCTCTCTGTATATCCGCCTTTCCAATGAAAAATAATAAAAATAAATCTTTAAAAAAAAAAAAAAGAAAGAAACATTAGGGAGCTGGATTGAAAGTAGAGTAGCCACGACTTGAAGTGGCACGTTTATGGGATGCTGGCACTACGGACAGAGACTTAAACTTACACCGTCGCACTGCCCCAGAACTGAGCTGTTCATAAACCAAGTGGAAAGATGTCTGAGATGTGCTTCAAAATCATCAGGAGGTGTTTAGGTTGAGGTGGGGCGAGGAGGAGCCAATAGACTGGTGATTATCGTGGCTGGAGTGGCAGATGCGGAGGTCGCTGTGTTCGCACCTCCAGCCGAGCCTTCGTGGGGCAGGGCCACTGGAAGAGCGACTCAGTTTTCTTTGGCTCTTTTGATTTGCATTTTTTTTAATTGTAAAACACTCTAAAAGTCTAATCATTTTGTTTTTGTACTGTTAAAGATTTAGTTTTTGATACCTTGTTGAATGGATTAAGCCTAAATTTAGCTTTGGTAATTAGTGATGTGTTTCAGAAATTCAAATCAAAGGAATACTACAAGTTTTAGTAATTATTTTAAAAAATAGTTTTTCTTTTAAATTGCCTAATTGAGAGAGAATAAAAGATTCAAATTTTTATTAGCATTTTAATTCCAAATACAGATGCTTTGCCTAAAGTTTTGTTTGAATTTCTTTCAGATGGATTTAATGCCTTTTATTAACAAAGCTGGCTGTGAATGTCTCAATGAAAGTGATGAGCATGGTTTTGACAATTGTTTACGAAAAGATCCGACCTTTTTGGAATCTGACTGTGATGAACAGGTAATGGGGTGCGTAGGTCAGAGCCTGTGGGGTGATCACCGTTTGCTTCTTACTTCTGTCTCATGTCCCCGTTTCTGGTTCATCACTGCTGTCCCAGTTCCTGACTCCTGCCTGTGAGCATGCAGCCCCATCCCCTGGCTTCAGCACGAGCTGCCGAATGTTCTAAGGAACATGCGTTGGCCTGCACTGCTAGGTTGAACTGTCACTGCGCTGTGGGTGTCCTGTGTTCCTTCGTAACCTGCCTTCCTTTCATTTTTCCAACCCATGTGAGTTTGTGTCCAAGCAGTAGGTGAGTTAGGTCAGGACTTTGGCTGGCTGCTTTGTGCAAACCAGTGTGATCTCTGCTCCCCAGAATTGCCCTCGTCACGGGGAGAATGCTGCCACCTTCATCTCCATCCGGGTTGTTCATTTCCTTATTGTCCATTTCATTGTTTCTGATATGTCCTTGTTCAAGTTCATCTTGTGTGTGGCAACAAGAGTTTTCCTTTTTTTAAAAAATATAAATCTGTAAGTTTCTTTATCTTTAAGGAGTTTTAATGATGCTTCACTGGCTGCAGGAAGAGTGTGTTTTGCTGATTTGATGTCATCTGCTTTTCACTTGCAGTTCAGTTCCCTAAGCTGTCGTGTGTGTGTGTTTGTATAAACAGTACTGGTTAACAAAAGGAAATAGTCCAGTCTAGAACGACAGTGTGATTCTACAGATCATAAATTGAAAGCTCGTTTGTGTTTGCTGTAACCAGACTGGCCTGTTTATATATCTTTGAGAGTGTATAATTCTTGTTGCTTTCCTGGTAAATGATGCCCTGTCAAGAATGTGATGGTGCGGGACAGCAGAACTGTCCGCAACCCTCTTAGAAATCTTCCTGTCAGAATCCTTCCTTCTGGCAGAGGCCTGGATCCTTACTCAGACACAGTCTGGTGGGAGGAAGATCAAGGCGGTGACTCAGGCTTCTGGGAAAGGCCTTCTGTGCCTGTGTGCTTCTCCTTGTCAGGTTCAGCTAATCATACGTTCAGGATGGAGAGTTCAAGGTCACTGCAGAGCTCTAAGGGTCTGAGTCCGATAGAGGACTAGTCTTTCTGCCTCATCTCTGTGGTGTCTTCAGCTTGGCAGGTGACATGGGTTGCTGTTTGCCATCACCATTCTAGAAAAGTGTATATGCTTAAATACATGGTGTAAATTGTATCTTCACTTGGGAATTTTGTTTGCTTTGTTGAAAAGTGGGTTGCGCGCGTGGGAGACCCGGAAGAGGCTCCTGGCTTCGGATCGGCATAGTATCGGCCCGTTGCGCTCACTTGGGGAGTGAATCATCGGACGGAAGATCTTCCTCTCTGTCTCTCCTCTCTGTATATCTGCCTTTCCAATGAAAAAATAATAAAAATAAATCTAAAAAAAAAAAAAAAAAAAAAAGAAAAGTGGGTTGCGTTCCCATTTACAGATCACAAGTCCTTAGCTTTTTATGTATAATTTTAGTAAATTTTATCCATTAAGATTGTTTTGTCATTCTCTTGTATAAATAGCTGATAGTGATATTTCTCATGTCAATCTAATCAAATTTATTTGGTTTACTTATTTTTCATATTACATTTTTGTTAGATGAATTAGATTTTTTTGTTGTTTTAATTTTGCTTGAGGATTTTATATATTCAAGATGAATAAGAGCCCTTTTATAATGAAACTTATTTTCTCCATAGTTACTTATTACTGTGGCATTCAACCAACCTGTTAAGCTTTATTCCATGAAATTTCAAGGGCCAGATAATGGTGAGTGAAGAACACCTTTCTTTGAGCTAACTCCTTGTTTGTATACTTGTAAAACATATACTTAAAAACTTTTAATTAAATATGTATTTATGTATTTGAAAGGCAGGATTGCAAAGAGATCTTTCAGATGCTGGCTTACTCGCCAGTGGGCACAATGGCTTGAGCTGGGTCAGTCCAAAGCAAGGAGCCAGCAGTGCCTTCCAGGTGTCTGACATGAGTGCAGGATGAAGAACATGGGCCATTCTCTGCTACTTTCCCAGGCCATTAGCAGGATGCTGCTAATGGAATAGCCGGCCTGGCGCAATAGTGTAGTGGTTAAGGTCCTCACCTTGCACGACTGGGATCCCATATGGTTGCCGCGATAGTGTAGTGGTTAAGGTCCTCACCTTGCACGACTGGGATCCCATATGGTTGCCGGTTCTAATCCCGGCAGCCCTGCTTCTCATCCAGCTCGCTGCTTGTTGCCTGGGAAGGCAGTCGAGGACGGCCCAAAGCCTTGGGACTCTGAACCTGTGTGGGAGACTCCAGAAGTTCCTGGCTCCTGGCTTTAGATTGACTCAGCTCTAGCCATTGCAGTCATTTGGGGAATGAATCAATACACAGAAGATCTTCCTCTCTGTTTCTCCTCCTTTATGTATATCTGCCTTTCTGATAAAAATAAGTAAATCTTAAAAAAAAAAAATGGAACAGCTAAGACTTGGCAGCGGCATTCATAGGAGGAGCTGGTGCTGCAGGCGGCAGTCTTACCCACTGCGCAGTCTCACCCCTAGTTTGAAGGTGTTAGACTCTCTTTTTGAGGTGCTATTTCTTTATGATTTGTTCTAATTTTTTGTGTTAATAAGTTCTTAATAAAGCTGTGCTTGTATTTTGAAAATTGAAAGCAAATAAAAACTGGAAGAAGTGTAAACTGAAGAAAATGTGGAAAGAAGTCAGTATTCCTTAATCAACTGCAAAATAAGAGTCAAATTTTCTCCTCTATTAATAAATTAAGTATACATCTGATGTACAATACTGAAACAAAAGCTTATTAATTCCGTTTTGGCCAACTTTTGGCACTGTTGATGGTTTTCTCTGAAGTGACAGCATGTAACAGTTGTTGGCAAGTACAGCAGTTAGAATTGAGAAGGATTGTGTGTGCCTGTGTGTACATACCTGTGTACATCTGTGTCGGGTCATCTTCCAGTATTTGGTGTAGGACTGGCTAGCCAAGCAAGGTACTAACAGATGTGTGCGAGAGGAGGGCGGAAATGAGCTGTCAAAATCTCACACATTTTGCAAATCCTAATGGTAGAAATCTGTTAAGCTGTATGTAGGTATGAGCATATCTCTGTATAAGGTGGTGTAAGTATACTTGGCTTTTAACATTTCTCTTTTATAGGTCAGGGTCCTAAATATGTGAAAATTTTTATCAACCTCCCCCGATCTATGGATTTTGAAGAGGCAGAAAGAAGTGAACCAACTCAAGCTCTGGAACTGACAGAGGATGATATTAAAGAAGATGGCATTGTTCCACTTCGTTATGTGAAGTTTCAGAATGTGAACAGTGTAACTGTGAGTAGCCACTCTTGTGTATTTATTTATTGTAAGATTTGTTTATTTACATGAAAAGTGGATGGGGAGAGAGAGAGGTCCGCCGGTTTATTGTCCTAATGGCTACAACACCCAGAGCTGGGCCAGGCTGAAACCGGAAGCCAAGAGCTTTTTTCAGTTCTCCCTCGTGGTTGGTGAGGACCCAAGCTGCTTTTCTAAATGGATTAGCAGGAGCTGGATCTGAAGTGGAACAGTCAGGGCACGAGGTGGTGCCTGTGTGGGATGCTGACCTTGCAGGCAGTGGCTTAACTCATATCACAGTCTTGTCCCATTTAGTAGTTTGGTGAGTAACAGGATTTTCTTAAGTAATTCTTTCTTTTGGTTCACTTTACAAATATCTGCAAAGCCAGGGCTTGACCATCCTAGTGCCCTGAGCCTAGGAGTGGGTCCGTCTCTCAAATGGGTGTTAGGGGCCCCACCTACTCAAGCCATTGCCTGCTGTCTTCTGGGATATGATTAACAGGAAGCAGGAATGAGGAGCAGAGCTGAAACATGAACTTGGGCACTGTGATGTGGGATGCAGGTGTCTTCTGTAGGGTAACTGCTGAGCTGAACACATGCTTTCACACTATGCTTGATCTGATAAGCTTGGTCGGTCTTCCATTTGACCAGAACTGCCATCTTCCACTAATTGCCAAGATAAGGAACACATAAGGAAGAGGAGAGACAGCTGTTTCATGTTCTTCAGGCCTTTTAGCAAACATGGAGTAGTTCCTCTGGCCACATACCTGCACATTTACGAAAGAGATGACAGTGTAGACCTTAAGGGAATGGGTGCTGTTCAAAAAGGAATGTGACCATGACGAAGCTGGAAGAGTCCACAGTGTTACCCAGCATGCTGTTGGTATCATTGTAAATGACAAAAGCAAGATTCTTGCCAAGAGAATAAGTGTGTGACAGCTTCCTGACACAGGTGAAGGAAAATGATCAGAGAAAGAAGGAAGCCAAAGAGAAAGGCACCATAAGTGCCAGCCTGCTCCCCCAGGACAGCCACCCTGCCAGAACCCACAGAAAGGAGCCTGAGGCTGTCGGGACCCAGTCCAAACAAGTTCATGGCATAGGAAGTGTAAACGAAAAATGAAAGACGTCTAAACACTACATTACAGAAAAAGAAAAAAAAGATAGAAACTTAAATGAAGACCCAGAAAGCACACTTATTTTAGTGATAAAACTGGAATCAGAATGACAGTTTGATCATAGTTGGATCAAAGCAAGTAGATAAACTTTTTTTTTTTTTTTTTTTTTTTTTTTTTATTATTTTTTCATTGGAAAGGCGGATATACAGAGAGGAGAGACAGAGAGGAAGATCCTCCGTCCGACGATTCACTCCCCAAGTGAGCGCAACGGGCCGATACTATGCCGATCCGAAGCCAGGAGCCTCTTCCGGGTCTCCCGCGCGGGTGCAGGGTCCCAAAGCCCTGGGCCGTCCTCGACCGCCCTCCCAGGCCACAGGCAGGGAGCTGGAAGGGAAGCGGGGCTGCCGGGACTAGAACCGGCGCCCATATGGGATCCCGGGCGTGCGAGGCGAGGACCTTTAACCACTTGCGCCACCGCGCCGGGCCCAAGTAGATAAACTTAAAAAACAATAGTTGTGCTTGGATTCAGAGAACAAATACATTCCCAAAAAGCTGAGAAGTGATTTAAAAGTCTTACTAAATAGATGATAAGCTCAAATTAAAATCAATCTGTTTGCTTATGAAAGCAGCAAAACTGAGTGTCATCTCAGAATAAAAGAAATGTGCTGTTAATATTAGGATAATTATTTATATTAAAGCAGTATTGTGTTCTAAAATGGAACTTGGGCCAGCGCTATGGCATGGCAAGTTAAGCTGCCAGCTGTGATATTGACCTCCCCTTGCACACTGGTTTAAGTCTGGGCTACTCTGCTAACAGTGCACCTCCCTTCTGCATGCTGGGAAGGCAACTGAAGATGGCTCAGGTCCTTGGGCCCCTGCCACCCCAGTAGGAGACCCGAGTTCCAGGCTCTTAGTTTGGCCTGGCCTAGTCCTGGCCTGTGGGACCGTTTGGGAGTGACCCATCCAATGGCTGATTGATCTCTTTCTCTGTCTCCCTCTCTCTGTAACTTATCTCAAATAAATGAAGAAAGTGCTTGCCTTGGCAGCACATATACTAAAATTGGAACAATACAGAGAAGATTAGCATGGCCCCTGTGCAAGGATGACACACAAATTTGTGAAGTGTTTCGTAATTTTAAAAATGATTTTTAAAAAATAATAATAGAAAAAGGAACAAATAAAGTGAATATGCTGAAATGTATCTGTGAATAAAGTTTTTATCTTAATATACTGAGGGATATTTTTAAATCTGGAGTATGAGTTTGGCTTGCAAAGCACAAAGGGTGGGGCTGATGCTATAGCTTAATTGGCCAGTCCTCCTTGTAACCAGTCATCTCAGATGAACACCTGTTTGTATCCTGTATCTGAGGGGCAGCGGGTCATAAGGGTAGGAGCCATACACAGCCACTCAATGGCCTCAGTACCCAGGGATGGGGAATAGCCACTCTGTGTCATACCAGGGTTCCTGATGTGGAACATGTACTGAGGGTTCTGCTCAAGTGGTTTCGATAATTCTGAGATGCTGTTGTATCGCCACTCCAAGGATGATGAAATCCTTCCAGGGTCAAGTGCCTCACATAGTCCATCTCAGAGTCTCCATTCACACGGGAATTTGCTGTCAAGCTTCGCTGGGGTAGTTGATCAATTTGTTCTATCCTTCTTCCTCTGCAAATCAATTGCCTGGGCTAGAGCCCAGGCCAGCTCTGCCCACCACACACTCAACCCTCACATACACCAGGGGGACCTGCAGCCTAGTCAGAGTGACCCCCTCAAATGCCCCCACTGGACTGGCTCCCCGCCCTGGTTCCTGTGCCTGACAGCATGTGCAGTGGACTGGTCTGGTCTGTTCCGCATCTCATTCAGATCTCGTGTACATCACTGAGCATTGAAGCTTAACTCAACCCAGGCACCTTCCCCCTCCAGCCCACGCTTAAGCCAGCAGATGCCACAACCTGTCTGGCCAGTCTCACCCCCAGTCCACCAGAGGGAGTAGTTACAGGAATTTTGATCAGTGAAAAACCATGACTTTAATAATAAAACTTCAGCAATATTCTTTTCCATTGTAGTCATGTGTGTCATATTCTGTCAACATTCCTCTGTACCTTCAGTGAATTGTCATGGGTGTGATTATGTGACTATCTTGCTGTGACATCTGTGGAGAAAGTGAGACCTGTAGCACAGACAGCGGCGTTAATGGTCCTGTAACAGAACTGATTACTGCTTCCAGAGAATGGAGGACGTTTTTATTAGTAATACAAGAAAATTGATTGTACTTTAAACTTTATTAGGAACCTAAAAAAATTGAAGTGATTATGATTACAAATGTAAAAACCTTTTTGCTTTTTGATAGATATTTGTTCAGTCCAATCAAGGTGAAGAAGAAACAACAAGAATTTCGTATTTTACTTTTATTGGTACCCCGGTCCAGGCGACGAATATGAATGACTTCAAAAGAGTAAGTCTTCTCGAATTATTATTTGTTAAAGTCATATTTAGGGCAGTAAAAAATATAAGTTTAAGGGAGTCATTTCATCATTTCAGTAGTCACACTTTTTTAAACCATAAAGATCCAAAATCATTTCATATCATTAAATTTTATAAAGTAGTATAGTAGTTTTTAGATACTGTGACTAAAAGGAGTTTACTGAAGATGGTAAGTCTTAAATGATACAATGTCTAAATGCCATCCAAGTAAGAAAGTGGTTAAGAATAATGGGAAAATAAGCTAAATCTTTTTGAAATGACTAATGAGACTTGAGGAACTTATTCTGAAATTTCTGTTTCTGATAAAAATGTTTTTAAATGAGTGGAATAATTTGCTTAATAAAGAGAATCATTCTGCTTTAATATGCTAATTTTCCAAATGATGTCTGTTTTAAAGGAGTATATTCAAACAAATTTAAAATGAATGGATGAGTTTCCTCCTGTTTTTATGTATCTGTTCATATAAATAGACTTCAAAAAGTTTTGGGAAATATGCAATATTTTAAAGTTTGTTTTCCCACACTTTGAAGTCCCCCTTGTATATTTTTTCCTTTTTTTCTTTTTCCCTTAAATAAGGCCTGATCCTAAGGTTTGCAGAGAATCTGTGGTGTGCAGGGCGTGTTTAGAATGAGGAGTGATCGGCTTTGTCCATTACTTAGAGCCCCTTCGGACTGGTTCCGTAGAGTCATTCCAGCATCTGAAAGCACAGGCTGCTGGAGACCTGGTGAGGTGCTGTTTGCAGTTTAGGGAGCAGCAAAGCGAGCCTTGTAGGGACCACAGTGTCTCTGATGGCTCTGTGTGGCAGGTGGAATAGGATTTAAGGTATTTGCACAAGGGGAGGTTTTTCCCAGAGTGCTCAGTTCCTGGGAGAAGACTCCAAGCAGATTCCTGTTTAGTGAATTAGAGCTGTAGAACAGTATGCCATGCTATAAAATTATACAGTTTATCAGATTGAAAAGTTTAACATAAATATTTGAACTGGTCTGTCTGATAATATGATTAATTTTTGGGAGCTGGGAAAATACTTACATATCTAGGTTGGTTGTGTCTACTTGTTTGACGTACATATAATGACAGGTCCATGAAGCAGAGATTGAACATCTACTTTTTCTTTTTGTGACTTGAATGTGTTTTACTGGAATTGTGTGACCAGCGAAGATGCTCTGGCTGCCTTTTTTTCTGCTTTGCCCATTTGAGCTAATGCCTTTGGAATTGGCTTTAATCAGCCTGGTCGAGTTTGTTACTAACTTAGTTCTCCTGTAAAATCTCCTGTAAAATCTTTTTATTTCCTAATACTAGTAAGTTTCTTGTTTCTCAACTCAGCTTGTGCTATTTGATTTTCCTTTTTTCTGTAAGTAACCATGATTTTGTCTTGTTCATTGTCTTAAAACCTGTTATTTTACTTTGCATTAGTAAATTTGCTTTTGAAGATCTGACTCCATCTCATAGTTAACATTTCCTTCCCACCCCTTCTGGCCTGTTCTTCATTGCCTTGCTACTCTTCCTGGTGGAGGGTGTTCTGTTAACATACATAACAAGCAAGCTTTTCCTGCTGGAAAATGCATGTGTGTTATAACAGCTGTGTGTTCATTTAATGGTTTTCACTTTGCTGAAACTACTATGGAGCAGCCATTCTCAGGTACCCCTTATTATTATCATGTATGATTGAGGACCTAAAAAGCTTGTTTATGTGTGTTCTTTTGTCTAATATTTGCCATACTAAAAATTAAAACTGGGAAATTTTGAAAATATTTGCTTACAGATAATCCCATTACATGTGAAATAACCCCTTTAAGTTAAAAAAAATACACATATGGTGGGTACACATTTAGTGTAGCAGTTAAGATGTCACTTGATATGTCCATGTTGGCATGCCTGGTTTCAAGTCCTGTGCTGTCCTGATGTGGGCCTCCTGTCATGTGCACCCTTGGAGGCTGTTGGGAGACTGGTGTGGGAAAGCATACCGAGTTCCCAGCTCCTGGGGCAGCCTGACTCACCCACACAGGTTTTTAGTCTTAGAGAATGAACCAGCAAATAGGATATACTGGTCTCTTGTCTCTGCCTAGGACTAGGACTCTGACTAGGAAGGTGCAGGATTTGTTCAGTGACAAGTTGAATATGGCACTTATTACTTGTTCAGTATGAATTTAAAGTGGATTGTGTATAATGAAGCTTAAATGTAAAATTTGCATTTACACTTGGCATATATTTTAAAGGTATAGGGAAGGAAAATTTTCTAATTGTAGTTATATGAAGAGAGCTATTAACCTTCAGTTTATATTTTTATGTTGTATAGGAAGATTTTTTTTTTAATATCACTAACCTTAAGATAAATGCTGATACCTCTTGAATGTGTGTGTGTGTGTGTGTGTGTGTAACATATATGGTTGTACTTCTAAGATTTATTAGACTAGATTATATTTTTTACTTGTCTTTGGTCTTCAAAAGCATTATGCACACGTGACAGTCGATACTTTGGCATTTTGTTTTTATAGGTGTATTCTTTTGCAGCATGACAAGCTTGCTGTGTTAACTTGGAAGTAGATGTTTTCTTTGCTAAAATAGATTGTTTACATGGATTGCTTTATTTTAATACAGAATATTAAAACATCTATACAAGATTGAGAAAATTACAGGGGCTTCGGCTTCTCGGGCAATGAGGTGCATGTAAAAAGCAGGGCAGTTTTTATCATTGTAATAAAAACAGACTTTTCTAAACTGGCCATTCACCATATCAGCTATTTTTGTAACATTTCTGTCTGTTTATTTTTCAGCTTTTTTAATCCAACTCAAATGAACTAAACCAGAAGATTTTTTTAAATGAAGTAATATAAAGATTGACCTTGTCTCACTCTGCTCCCCTCCTTGCTTCTCTGCTCATCTAGCAGCTGTCTGCTCTCACCCTCCCCATGTTGTCGCCATTATTGGTGCGAGATTTCTACAGCTTCTGTCATCTGGATCCGCCTTCTTAGGGCTAGATTTCTTCAACCATCTCTTTCTTCAGATCTCACTCTGCTTAGGTTTCTCATTTGGCCTTCTGTTTTGGTTTGGGCTGGCGACTAGGTGCTTTTTATGTCTATACTGTGCTGAGCATTAGATTTTTCATTTTTTAAAAACTATCTACTGTTTGCATATTTAATTTTGTATTGCTTTTTGAAAAGGAATACCACAGTAAAACTTGTTATAAATGCTTTCAGATTAAATTACTTGGATCATGTTTCGATTAATTCTAAACTTTAAGGTTTGTGTTTTAGAAACTATAAAATCCTTATGGAAATCAAATACAATTTCAACATGGTCTTTTATACAAGAGCTAATATATATATATTCATCAGGGTTTGGTTCAGGAGTGTGACTTTTCTCAGAGGAATGATAGTCCAAAAGTGTTTTTGGTGATGAATTGTGGATATATACATATATATATGTAATATATGTATATATATATTTTATGTGTATATATATATTTTTTGCCTACCCAAGTGATCTCAAGGTCAATTCAAGGACTTAATGGACTGAATATTAGGCTGGGTTAAAATATTAACAATGGATTCTACTGAATAAGTATCTTCAGCATCTAATTTTGATGTTCCTAGACTTTGGGGTGTAAAACAAAAAGCTAAGCATGAATAAAACAACTAAGTTTGGGATAAGAATCTATATTGGAATGTACAATTTCTTCTTTTTTGCAGAGAATACATATTGGCAAGTTGAGAGTTATCAGCCTGTGACACAGTATGCAGATATGTGTCTTCCGTTGTATCACATCTGCTAAAAATTTTTAATTTTAATATTAGTTTCCTTTTGCTTAATCTAATAGCACCATGTTTTGTGTTTCTCAAGTAATACCATGATCAGTAATGCTTTCAGTGTTTATTGGCTGAAGTTCATTTGTGATGGAAATATTGCCACCCTCTCCTTTCTGTTTAGGGCTCTTTAAACCTTCATTCTCTACTCATGTCCACATCTTCTTTTATAGGATTTTTTTGGTCATTCTTACGATATTCTAACTTACATTTTTATTTTTTTAACCAGAGATGAGTTCCTGTAAAGTAGTAACAGTGGCTTTCCTTTGACTAAGGGAGAAAACGTTTCTAGCTGTGTATTATTGTGCATTCAGTGGAAAGAATTACAAAACTTTCCCTTGATTACCATCAACCCATCTGTATTCTGTTTCATACCGGCCATGTACTGATGGCCTTTATGAGTTTTTCTTGGTTTACACACTGCTGTTTCGAACAGAATCCATTTCAAATGTGACAATTGCATTGATAAATGTACAGATAACTATTGCTATATAAGCATATAAAGTCTTGTTAGTTTCTCTTAGACACCTCTCTTTTATTTTTTAAAGATTTATTTGTTTTTATTAGAAAGGTAGATTTACAGAGATATGGAGAGACAGAAAGTTCTTTTGTCCACTGGTTCACTCCCCAGGTGGCCGCAATGGCCAGAGCTGAGCCGATCTGAAGCCAGGAACCAGGAGCTTGTTGTGGCTCTGGGCTGTCCTCACCTGCTTTCCCAGGCCACAAGCAGGGAGCTGGATGGGAAGCGGGGCCTCTGGGCACAAACTGGTGCCCAAATGAGATCTTGGTGTGTACAAGGCGAGGATTTAGCCACTAAGCCATCGTGCTGCACTTTTTGTTTTTGTTTTTGTTTTTGTTTTTTTTGTTTAGACGTCTTTCTACTATGAGATTACATTATCTGGTAATAAACTCGAGGGTTGAAGCACTTGATTAGAACAGATTTATTGCCTATATAAGTTGTAGAAATTAAGCGTATTTTTTCTTTTTCTTTCTTTTTTTCCCCCCCAGAGTATTTATTTGTTTGAAAAAGGCAGTTAGAGAGAAATGCAGTGAGGGGATGGAGGCAGAGATCTTGTCTCTTCTGGTGCACTCCCCGAGTAACTTGCACCATCCGGGGCTGAGTCCTGCTGCATCATGGGAACCAGAGGGCCTTCATGTGTGTTTCGTGCGGTGGATGCCCGGCCCAAGCACTGGAGCAATGTCTGCTGCTTTCCTCAGCTCATTAACAGGGAGCAGGATCTGAAGTGCAGCAGCTGGGATTTGAACTGGTGCCCATGGAATACCAGAGTTGCAGGCAGTATATTAACTTACTGTGCCATAATGCTGGCCCATTTGATTTTGTTCTTTACATTTTTGCCATATTGATAGCAACCAGGGTATTTTTTAATCCTCCAGTAGAAGATTGTTAACCATTGACAGAAACAGAATTTAACCTTTATGATTTATCATACATTTATAGCAACCAAGTTTTTTTTTTTTTTGTAATGGGAAGTGTCTATCATTTTAATCTGTTTTCAGTGCATGTCTAGAGAAAAAAGTTTGGAAACTCGTGACATGAATTTAGCATACTTTTTAATTCCAGATTATTTTGTGATTGATATTTGATTCCTAATTGCTTAAAAATAGAATGCTAAATATATTTAAAAAAGAGCAGCTTTTTTATTAATGCTTCTAAACTCTCAACCTTTTACTTAAAGCAGTGTAGGAGACCAAGGATAGGCTGCATGTGCTTTAATTCCTCGTGGGTGTGGGTTGAGGGTTGTGGTTTGTTTCAACAGTGAAAGTATACTGCATGCCAAAAAGAGATATAAGAATAAAAGTTAGTGGGCTTAAACATGATTACCTTGTTGGTATTTGTTTAAAATAACTTAGTCCATGTCTTTTCAATCAATAAGGTGTACATATCAAGTTATTTTTGTTTTTCTAGGTGGTTGGCAAAAAAGGAGAAAGTCACTAAGGTGCAGAAGACACTGGACGACCATATTGCAATCAGATCTCCAGCTCCTGGATAATTGCTTGATTCTCACCAGAGACTGTCAATGTTTCATTCATTGCCATTACCAATAAATCATTGCTTTGGTTTAGATGGTATCACTAGTGTTTCTATTGTAATCTTGATACATGCAATTGTAAATAAAGTCACTACTTTTGCCAAGCTTAATATTTTGTCATTTTACGTAAGTGTTTTCTTTTTTCATTTATTTGAAAATATTCCACCTTCTGATTTTAGAAGAGACTTAAGTGCTTGGTAGCATATTGGTTGGAAGCCAGTTTCTCTCTCGAGGAGCCAAGCTATCTTAGGTAGTTAAGGAGTGTGTACGCGCACACAGAACCATGATTCTGGTAAATGACTTGGAGCAGCCAAGTTCAAATGGGTACTGACTTGTGTTCTTTTTAGTAAAGGGTAATTGAGTATTTGGGTACAGTAATTTCCTCAAATTATGAACAACAAATACACAAGATGATGAGATTAACTAGTCTTAGCTACAACTAGTTAGTATGTCTATGAATTTTGTTTCTTACACCAAGATTTGAATCCCTTCTAGATAAACTTTGAATCAACTTTTTTCTTTTTTAATTAACAAAAATATTGAAATCACATAGTCAAGAAAGTGCAGTGTGAAGCATTCATTAATAGTAGAAATTTTGTTTTTAATCAAGTCTTATCTGAACTACCCTGCCATGCAGTGTTAAATACATGCAAAATGTGATTAAGTTTGAGAATTTGTTGGCAAAATGTCTGTTTAAAAATTCTTTCACAAAAGACGGATGAAATTAAACTTGTTTTCTTTTTTTATGCTAAAATTGCAATTTAAAAAGCATTCATATATTTAATTTTTACATCACTGAGTAATTTTTAAGTACATTAGACTGTGTAACTTGTGATTCAGTTAATACATCAAAGAGTACTCTGTCTTAGGAGTATTGCTTTTAGGAGTCTATTCATCATACATGTTAATGAAAAGTTACGTGGAAATGTTGCTGTTGAACTAGTCGCCTTCTGAAGGCAGGTGTCATGAGGTGATGTCGAGTTCACTGTAATGTGAGCACATGACTGGTCTGTACAGATGTTTGTCTTGTGTGTACTCTGAAGTTTTGTTGCCTTGGGTCAAGTGGAGGTAGAAGGGAAAGAAATAAAAGTTGATACCACTCCTTATTGAAGACCATCTCCGATTAATCACGCCTGAAATTAAAGTTAAGATTAATATGGAGGGTTCTGTTTAATAATTTTGTACACTTAACCTGTTTGGGTAATTGTTGAAGTGCCTCATCCTAAGCATCGCTGACCTCATCCTATTTATACTTGATACTTTGGAAACCCAATAGAAGTGATTTCATATTTGTAAAGGATTAGGCTTGTGATTTATATTGTTTGTGTGGCTTTTCTATAACTCGTTGCAATATACAAACATTCCATAGTTATTCAATTTGTAAATAGTGAAAAATGAATGTTTATAGGTGACTGTAACATGTTTCACTTATGGGAAGTTTAATATTACAAATAAACTCGCATAATTGATACTATTTAAAACATCAAGCCGAAATACTGTTTTCTGCTCAGTTTAAAATGACACTGAATTTCCCAAATGAATTAGAAAAGCAGTTAAAAAGTGTAAGGCTAGTTATTTTAATCCAAACCATCCAATACATACTGCTTTCTCAGGTTGATTGTTTGCTTTGTCATAGCAGAAGAGTGACTTGCATGTTTTGTTACATATTTCTCATCAGGGTCTGTATACATGGGAAACAGCAAGGTCCCACAACAGAAGCAGAGATACTGTGGAAAAGATTCTTAGGCTGACAAAATCCCCTTGTTTTGAATCCTACATCAACTTAAGGAACATTGTCTCCAGCACAATTCCCAACACACTGGCTTGGAGACAGCGGTCCGTTGAGTTGAAGTTATTCAAGACCCTGTCTTTCTTGCTTCTGTTTGAGAATGCACTTGATGTTGTCCACAGTGTTTATAAGGGGGCTGTTGGGTGCAGTTGGCCTCAGCCCTTGCTTAGGACTGCTGTCAATACATTTGACAGATGGGAAGATAGGAGTTTTTACCCAGAACGCTGAAGATCTTCCCAGGTTTCTCTTCATGTGTAAACTTTTTAATACTGTAAATAAGTATAAGGTGTTCAGTAGACTGAAAGTATCCTCTCTGTTAACTTTAAAAAACTAAATTTAGGGTTTACCTATGTATTTGTAGTCGTATATAGTTTGATTTGACCGGTTAACTTATTTAGGTTGATCTGCTTTCATGAATCGATTATTTCTGATCGACAACTTTTTTAACAAAGTAACTTGGAATAAGGAGTCTGTTCACTTGCTGCTAAGGGAAACTGAAGAATTTCATGGATTTATCAAATATGATAATTTAGTACATGTGTATAATGTGTAGTGAGCAAATCAGGGTAATTAGCACTTCTGTCATTAAATGCCATTTTTTTTGTCTTAAAAACCTTCAGACTTCTAGATCTTTCTAACATGCACGATAAACTGCTGAGCTCCATGTGGTAGACCAGAACTAGCTCCTCCAATGTAAGTGTATCTTGGTAACGGTTCTCTAACTTCCTCTGTTTCATCTCCAACCTCTATTGGTCATTGTTCTACTCTCAATTTCTTACTGTAACAGCAGCATCCTGTATTGCTGGTTTGAGTCCTGGCTGCCCCGCTTCCAATCTAGCTGTGTGCTGATGGTTTAAGAAAAGCATTGGGTTTTGGCCCAAATGTTAAGGATGCTGCCACACTCATGGTAGACCTGGGTGTCACATGACTTCTGACATGAGCCTGACAGCTCTGGGCGCTATAGCCACCTGGGAAGTGAAGCAGTGATGGAAGATCTCTTAACCTCTCTCTGACTCAGTTTTTGTTTACTTTTAAGGTTACTTATGTAACAGAGAGAGAGATCTTCTGTCTGTGGATTCACTCCCCACATTTCCTTGTCAGTTCAGTCTGGGCCAGATGGAAGGCAGGTGCCAAGAAACTTAAGAAGTATGTTCTACAGGAAATAACAGCAATGAATCAAATGATAGCTGATAGAAATTAAGAACAGGCTGGCTGCTGCCACTGTGCCAATTGTGGGTGCGGACTGCTGCCATTGTGTTTATGGGGGCCTGGGGGATAGCACTGGCAGGGGCTTGCAGAGACCTGGGAGCTCATGCTGAGACAGCTGGAGCCTGGGCATTTCCCCATGTGCTTGGTCCTGAAAGCGATGGGCGAGAGGAGGGGGAGAGCCCTAAGTTAACATGCTGGTGCTGTGTGCTGGTGGATTGGGCTGGGGGAACTTGGAATGGACTAGGAACTTGGGTGGGTCCAGGTGAACATATGTGCCAGGAGATTGGGACTCTAGTGGTCAGACAGAGCTCCAGGTCAGCATACCACCACACCTGAAAACTGGACTTTATAAAAATTGGGCTGTGGCACAGGGACTGTGAGTTGCTCAGGGAAAGGGGCAAGGGAATGTGTTGGAGGGAGGACCACTGAGGGAGTATGTTGCAGTGAGGAGTGACTTCTGGGGGTCTTCCATCAACAAGGGCACTGTGCTTGCAGGTAAGTGAGGGGACTGAGACTGAGCAGTTTGGGGGTGGGACTGGAGGACTTTTAAGGGTCACACTGATGCATCAACCCACATGGGAGACCTGAGCTGGGCTAGTTAGCATTGACCACTACTCATTGGTCCACATTAAAGCTAGGGCTGGGGCCTACCTGGCAGGACTAGATCCCAAGTACCTGCCAGTGAGAGTTGGAACAGGGGTTGGGTGATGTTAGGTTGGACCATGCCACTAGCCAGCACATGAGTGAATCAAATCTAGGGGTAGCTTCTGTGGTGGATATGTGGGCCAACCTTTGTGGAACTGCAATTTCTGCTGGTTTGCTTAAGAGCTGGGAGTAGTGATGGGCTGAGCTAGACATGACCATGGAGCCCTCCAACACTCATGGGAGTTGGAAACAGGCCAGGCTGGTCCAGTCTGCAGCACCCACAGGCACCCAAAATTAGGGTGTGGAATGGGCTGGGTGGCAACACCCACCAGCTCATACAAAGGCTGGGGCAGAGTATGTGGGATAAGGGCCTAGTACCTGCTGGCATATGTGAGACCTGGGTCTGCCCTGAACCTGGTGGGGGAACTTGGGAAACTCCCCTGGTGGGCTGTAACTCCTGATGAGCGTGAGGTTCAGGCTTAGGTCAGTCTGGGCAAGGTAGCTCCACTTGTTGGTAAGTTTGTGGGTTGGTTCTGGAAGGGGGTAGACCAGGTCAACCTTGGCTCACTGGCATGTGCAGGTGCCTGGCTGAAGTACAGGTCATTGTTGGGCTAGGCTATCACACCTATTAGTTTGCATGACCAGAGATGGAAGTAGACTGGGCAGGAATAGGCTGGAGCACATGCCAGCGAGTTGAGACTGGAGTCAGGCTGGGACAGCCCTGGCTGATGCATCTGATGGTAAAGGTCAAGACAGGGAATGGGCTTTGATGAGCTGAGCCAGAGCAACCACTGGCACATACAAGATCTTTGGGAACAGATCTGGTTGGGGAGCTAAGGGGACACCCTGAATGGGTTGTGGTCCACCCAGTGAGCATGAGAGATAGGGGGCAGCCATTTGAACAGGACATGGCTGCAGTCATTCAGTAACATGTTGTTTAAGTTCATGTTGTTAATTTTTAAACTTTATTCCTGTTGTTGATTTTGTTTAATGGCTTTTCATTTAAGAGGATGTAGAGTAACTGTATCATATCCAGATATGAAGATACAATGTTGTATTCATTGCTACTTCCAAATCAAAGATGGACTCGTAATAAAACTGTTAAATATATCTTTACAATAGGATGCTGGATTCTTTGCCATTGTCCATACCTACAATGTCAGGATAGCACTTAATATAGCAGAATGCTGGACTGTACTACTGCAATGATATAGTGGAAATCAGTAGGGATGAGGTTTTAGGGGGTAAGGGAAATCCCAGCACCTATGGAGCTGTATCATAAGATAATAAATCTATAAATTAAAAAATTATATTTGTAGAATTCCATTTGCTATTTTGATAGATGTGTACATTGTGTACTATCTGTGTAATATATCATCTGTAGGAGCCATTTAAATGATAAAAATTGAAGCATGTATATGAATGAGAAGTGTAAAGAAAGTAGAGTGAAATAAGGAACAAGATGCTAAGCAGGGGAGGTTCCTGGAAAACCAAAAGCAGCCAGTAAGACTGTAGGAAGAAAAACAAGGTTGTGATAAATGAGAGAAAAATGAAGTAGCAAATGCATGTGGAAATAGTCGCTTTGAGATCTAATACCAATATTAAAAGCTGGAAGGTTATTCAGGATATTCAGTTGTCCATTACATTTTGGAGACAATCGAGTGCCTCATTATAAGAATAATTGATTGAGGGTTAGTCTTGCTTGAAAGCATCAGCAAACCAAGAGATCTGAATCTCTTTCTGGAAAGAAATTGAGAAAGCTTTGTAGTCTACACGTAAACATAGTCATCACGTGGCGATTAATAAGGCTTGAGAATCAGTGGCAACATTCCCTACGGAGTTTGTGAAACTCAGCTTGCAAGGTGCCACTGTAGCTTTAGTTTTGTATTCAGGTATTGTCTCTCCCTTGTTTTACATGTTATCGGAAGCTTTGTCATTCTAGAATTGTGTTTGTTTTCTTGCTGCTTTTATTGACACAGTTCCTATTGACACAGTTCTTGTGTCATGAGTTCTGGATGAGATGTTTAGGTTCCTTAGAAATAAGGTTTTGATTCTACAGTACAGTATCAAATGCCTAAATTGTTGAAAGCCACTCTTCCGGGTTCTCCAGTAACAAGGAGCAGCTCCTTCATTAGATTAGACGCCTTCCCTGTCATTTTTCTGTGGTCGAGGACAGTTTCATTTCCCTGGCCTTGTAATTCTTAGAGGAGTTAGGACACTGTCAGCATTAGAGATGCTGCTGCACGGATTGGAATTTGGCTGCAGGTGACCTTTGTGGTTAAAATTGAGTGCCTAGGTGCAAACCAACCATGGCTGAAAGGGCACTGGTAATGGATACATGGCATGTTAGGAATTGGTTGTTTTGATGCACATACAACCTTATTGTAAAGAAATACGGTTTCTCTCTGAAGGGATGGGAGATCCTCTAGGATGGTTTGTGACCCAATTTTTAATGATAGTGGT